ATCTTGAAGTCGATCTGTTCAGTGATGGGGAGCCAGTGGAGCCTGGCCAGAACTGGTGATATGTACGGAGTTTGGTTCGGGTCAGTATGCAGGGGGAGAGTTCTGAATGAGCTGGATCTTGTGAATGGTGGAACTGGGGAAACCAGCGAGGAGTGCTTTGGAGTAATCCAGGCATGAGGTGACAAACGCACGCGCTAGGGTTTCGGCTGCACTGGGTTAAGGTACTGTCGGAGGCGGGCAATGTGGCAGAGGTGGAAGAAGGTGGTCCTGGTCAGGAACCGGATGTGGGGTAGGAAGGACTGCTGGGGGTCGAACTGGATGCCCAGATTGAGCACTGGTTTAGTGACTGAGAGAGAGCCCAGGGAGGTTGAGGAGTTTAGATCCGCAGGAAGGAAGATGTTGATGGGCGTCGAGGAGTATGGCTTCCATTTTGTCTACATTCAGCTGCAGGAAGTTTACACTCATACAGGCTCTGATGTCTGCCAGAAAAGCTGATAGAACATTGGTGGATCTGGAGTCGATGCTGGAGGAGACAAAATAGATTTGTGTGTCATCCGCATACATGTGCAAGTTTACCCCATGTCTGCCCAGAGGGAGCATATAGATGAGGAAAAGAAAGGGGCCAAGGATGGAGCCCTGGGGTGCCCCACAGGTGACAGGACTGGGCGGAAGGAGAAACCATTTGCCGAGGTGAAGTAGAGGCAGTTGGTTAAGTAGGACTCGAACCACATGATTGCGATTGTGGGAGAAAAGGTGCTGAAGGAGGATGGGTGGTCAACTGTGTCGAATACGGCAGAGGACGAGGAGGCAGAGGGAGCCTTGGTCACAGATTGAGAGGACATTGTTTGTGACTTTGACAAGTGTTGTTTCTGTGCTGTGGGCAGGGTGAAAACTAGACTGCAGGAGCTTGTGGAGGGAGAGGTCTGACCAAAGTTGACCTGAACCAATGCGTTCCAGGACTTTAGCAAGGAAGGGTAGCTTGAAATGGGATGGTAGTGTGAGAGATTAGAGGGATCGATGTAGGTATTTTGAGGAGGGTTGTGATAACAGCGGTTTTCAGGAGGAGTGGGACAGCTAATTTTCCCTCAAACCCGCTAACAGACCATTTATAAATTGGTCCGCATTTCTTCTATTGCTACATACTAATTAGAGACTTCAGAATTTTCCATCCAGTCGAGAGCGTTTATGGCAGTGTTGAAAACAATTTGTTTAAACAGGAATGAGGTGTATAGTTTGTGGTAACAACAAATAGTTGAATCAGATCTAAATCACTGACATCCAGTATTTCTGATTCCACGTGTTGTTTTAATTGTAATATTCAGTAAATATTTTATTTAAAATAAAACATCTGTGATCAGGGCTCCCTCCGCCTCCTTGTTCTCCTCGACCTCTCTGCCGCCTTCGACACTGTCGACCACTCCATCCTCATACACCACCTCTCCTCTTTACTTAATCTTCGTGGTCATGCCCTTGACTGGTTCGATTCCTATCTCTCTCACCATCTCCACTTTGTTGCCTCTTACAGTTTCTCCTCCAGCCCCTGCACTGTCACATCTGGTGTCCCCCAGGTCTCTGCCCTTGGCCCTCTCCTCTTTAATATCTATATGCTCCCCCTTGGTGACGTCATCCGCAGACATGGGGTCAACTTCCATATGTATGCGGATGATACCCAACTTTATCTTTCTGCCTCCACCCTCAACTCCAGGACCACTGCTGTCCTGACAGACTCTCTGTCGGACATCAAGTCCTGGATGAGGGCAAATTTCCTACAGTTGAACGTGAACAAGACTGAGGCCCTCCTGATTGGCTCGCGCCAGCGCCTCAGCACCTCAGGCTCTGGCAGCATCAACCTCCATGGTTGCACACTACAACTCAGCAGCCAGTCAGGAACCTTGGTGTCTTGTTTGACCCTCAACTGTCTTTTCTTCCCCACATTCAACCCATGGCCCACTCTGCCTTCCCTCAACTCTGTAACATCGCCCAACTCCGCCACTACCTCACCCCTCAGGCCGCTGAAACTCTTGTTCATGCCTTCATCATCTCCAGGCTGACTATGCAAATGCCCTGCTTGTCGGCCTTCCCAACTCCCCCCTCCACAGGTTGCAGATAATCCAGAACTCTGCAGCCCGTGTCCTCTCCCGCACCAAAGTCCATGGCCCCACTCCCCCAATTCTCGCCAGACTCCATTAGCTCCTTATCCTTTAGAGGATCTAGTTTAAAATCCTGGTCCTCACCTACAAAGCCCTCAATGATCTCACCCCACGCTACCTCTGTGACCTCCTAACCCTCTACCAACCCGCCCGCTCCCTCCACTCAGCTGGCTCTGGCCTGCTCCACGTCCCCTGCTCCACCACTGGCGGGTGAGACTTCAGCCACTCTGCCCCCAACCTCTGGAACTCCATCCCCCAATCACTTCAGCTCGCCCCCTCCTTAGCCTCCTTCAAGTCTCGCCTCAAATCCCTCCTCTTCGACCATGCCATCAGTCACCTCCTTCCCCTCTCCACCCTTCTCTGCCCTGACCCCAGCTCGGGTCTGAAATGCTGTACGCTGTCCAGCACCTTGGAACTTCCTCCCAATGTGAAAGGCGCTTTACAAATGTAATCTTGTTGTTGTTGTATTTGTAGTTTTTTTTTAAACAGTTACAAAGGTTTAGCCAAATGTTATGTTGTATCTTCTAAATTATCACTAAATGAAACAAACTTTAAAAATCTTAACATGTGAGCCCATTGAAGATCTTTCTGGATCATT